TATCTTTGTAAATTCAAATGAGCTCTTTCTCGACGAAGACGCGCCTCGCGAAAACGTAAATAAAGTCACCGACTTTACGAAAGTTTTTGTATTTGGATTTTTAGTACTACGACGATCTAGCAGCTAATTTTGATGCATTCGATGAAAATGAGTTCCATGTGCGTTTCGAAAGCTTCGGCGTCGCGAGCGTGAGTAGAATGAATTTGAAAAGACTAACCAAAAACAACTTCAAATGTCACTGTGTCACGTGTTCTTAGCAGATGCAGTTCGGCGGTTCTCCGACTCTAACTGTCATTCTGCGTAGTGCAACCGCTTTCATAATAGTTCGCACCGATGTAGGAGCTTGTGCTGGGTTCCGGAGCTCCTCCCGTGCAAAAATAGATCATTCAAATGGACACTGACCTTGCGATTGCGCAACGAAACGGACCGGCGCAAGAATGCGAAATATTATTAAAGACACAAAGCTTTCCGGCCGCCTCGATTACTGCGGAGCCAACAGGTAGCAGATCTCATTACAAGTGAGCTACAGCGTTGTGCACGATTATTCAGAAAATAACTTTTCCATTGTTGCTGATATCTAAACGAAAACCTAAGTTTTATGTTCTAAGTTCTTATGTTTTAAGTTCTGATATCTAAACTTAACAAAACATCGTATTTTTTATCTTTTTATTATCTCCCGTATGGAAATACACCAATATAATGTTTCGTTAAGTTCTTTTCGAATATACAGGGTGTTTCAGTTAAGGGAGATCACCTGCAGTGCTGTGAATAATTGTAAACTCGAGGTAACTTCTACATTTTTACTGATATTTTTAACACTAAACACACCAAGCCAGTCAAAAGGACCGGTTTTATATTATTAAATTTGAAGTTGCTGAAATTGTGAAGATGCTCTCAAAAAAAAAGATCGAGTCAATTTCTCAATCCAAGCATGCATTGTACTTAGAAGTTGTGGAGAGTCTAAATAAATTCGGTCTTATCATTCTTACAGAGCAACACGCATTCGTCACTTTAAATGCTCGGTAGATCTAGTGTTAAACAAAAACCAAAATAGCTACATTTGTATATTTCTGTTATCTATTAATTGCAATATAGAAATATGGTGTTTTATTATGTTTTCTGTATAAATACCACAAAAAATGAAAAAGTTATTTTCAGTCTATAATTGTTCACGCCACTGTATTTATCTTCGAAAGAACTTCGATCCATCTAGACTTTCAACATGGATCAAAGAAACGCTGTTCTCCGTGAAACGTCTTAAGAACAGTTTCTAATTTGTCTGAACTATCATCAAAATGAACGCGCTATAAACTCGCATTTCTTTGTGTCGATAAAATGGTTATTGCCCTCTAAAAACGTTAACCATTAGTTAGTAATGATCCGATCGAATTGGACCTGTTACTTTTTGTACCTGTAACGGAGATAGCTCCAATGTTTAACTGGCATTTTAATGTATATTCGGTGGTGTAAAAGCTTATTAACACGAATGCAGATTGTTCGGAAACTTGTGCTTACTGCAACAGCTCGGTCATCAACGTCATTTCGAAAATGTACCAATTTGTTTAATACCTCAAATGTATGGTCCATCTGTCAAAGAAAGAACTTCATCTTTATAAAAAGTAAAAGTTTGAAATAAAAATGTGAAACAGAAATAGAACAGTGATAAAATAAAGATGAAGCTAACACGAATCAATAACAGACACAAAAAAGACGAGGATAAAAATTGTTTCACGTTGTTAATTTTATAATCCTACGATATTATAACCTCGTTCGCAATTTGTCAATTGGGAAGCACAAAAGCAACGCAAAACGTGATGCTTATTGTACAATAAAATTGTACTTAATGTATCGTAGAAATAAAAACAGCACGTAACACGTCACGATGCGTAAAGAAATGTTCGTAATACACCTTGAACGTCGTATTTTCAGTGAATTTATCGGAAGCTAACGTGACAAGTACCATTATGTAGATTGATTACACTGCGATCGTACGTACAATGTGTTGCACGAACAGAAATATCCTATAGAATGCGTAAGTCGTTACTTCGTAGACACCCTGTACGCCGAGAAATTATAGTGGTGACGACAGAATCTGTGTACGGCTTACGCGTACACTCCTGGCTTTTATTAATATTAATGCTCGTGTATTGTAACCACGCAAACCACACTCAACACCGAGATTTAAATGATATGCACAATGTCGTACACATGGCCGGCATCTAATTTTTTGCATCTAATGCATTCGATCGCTTGTTCCATAAATTGAGTCTGCTTTCTTAATCTTACGATTAAAAGCAGAACTGCACTCCATTGTTTTTATAATTTCAATCACGCCACTTAACACGTAGGTCTCGTTTGACGTTGCTGTTCAGAAAAAGTTATTGCATTTTTTTACGATTCGAACTAACGTTTGATGCTGAGATCTTGGAGGAGAAAAAAACCAACTTATGCACATAAAATATGTCGAACCGTTACAGAGAAAATTGCCATTTGGGCATCAACGACCGAGAAAGAAAGAAATTACAATGAGTATACTGAAATGCGGTTAAAAAGTATGCTAGTTTCATTAATTTTATATATGTATTAGAGAAAATACGTTAGATACCAAGAGCCAGAACGATCAAGTCATTGCGTTGTGTCAATAAGCCTTTCTTTTCTTTTAAATGTTGCCGCTATTGTGCTTTAAAAGCAACCGCGTTAAGTTATCAGCGTGAGACATATTGCATAATAAAGTTGACGTTTAATAACGACACAATAAAGTAGTCGAAAAGACTAGCATAACCTACGATTCAACTGATTACTCCGAATTTTTTCTTACTTCGTAAATCGCAGATAAGAGCCATAAGTGAGTACCATACAATCTTCGATTCGAGGAACTGAAATTACCGTAACGTTTCATTCTTATTCGATAATAAACAACATTAACGACTGTTGCATCGAGCTCGACACTTCTCAGATGCTTCCCTTTTGATCCCTCCAAGTAACTTGAAATCTAAATCGAGGCTCTTACATTATATTCCACGAAATATCAAATCAGAGATAAAAGGTAGGTCGAGTCGCGCGCAATCGGCAGTGACTCAAAAAAAACATTTCCTGATTAGATCGGATTTCTAAAAAATTTTGGCGGCTGTCGGATCCCGCTTGATAGCAACGATCTCTAAGCAGGCATTAAAAACAAGTACTAACAGTATTATAATCGACGTTTTATTAGAAACATGGCAGACCCAAGAAATTCTGTGTTACGATGCTGCATCGGTGATTTAGCTAAATCAGCGATTAAATTAATTTTCTTCGAGACGAACTCGAAAGAAAATCTAGTGCGCGTATCGTGCGCATTCGTCGCGTGAGTGAAACACAATGCATAATTATATTTGTAATTTTAGGCTCATCTTCCGGTCGCACATTTCTCGTTTTTGCAACGCAAACGTAAATACGTTTAATAAATTATAAATATAATATAAATATAACCGTTATATAAATTATAACCGTTTCACCGAGCAACCTCAGTTTTTCGTCTACCTTTTAATTTGCATTAATTGTGCAGCACCTCGAAACCTGTTCGCGAACTCCAAAATCGTCGGCGCCCTTCGAAATTGAAATGGTGGCACGCGTGCATTTTCGATACCGTCGCGATCGTCGGATGGCTCGATTCGTGCGCGCAATATTTTCATATCAATTTAGTGGACGTATCGCGAGCATTTTTCGAGCCATCCTTTTCGCGTTATTTATCGTCGTCATAGTTTCGCAGTCAGCGCCAACGAGGACGCGAAATGCAAGTTAATCTGCAACTGCTGATAAGCGCTCAAAGGTAATACGATAGACCAACCGTGCGCGTCTGTGGCTTGCGTCTTATAATACATGCATATACACAACGACTCGATTGTTACGGGCGCTTAAAATATTTTGCTGCCAATTTTTCCGTCTTTCTTACGACCAGAATCGTTGCACGCGAACACAACGTAACCATAGCCGTGCCCCGCGACTTCTTACCGACTTCGAGCGCCGATTGCGGACCACACACGATTCATCGGCGTCGGAGAAACCGGACAAGAAATACGTATTCCTAAATTCGATGCTAAGCGGAAAAAATTGTAAATCGCGTTCATGCAAATGTTCTTCGTCGCAAGACCGCGATTACGGGAATCCATTTTGCCCGGGTGAACGATATTTAAATGCCAGTTATCGCGAGTCCTCGGCATCTCGCCTAGAAACGAACCAGTTCGAACAATATATTTTTACTCGAAATTCAGAAGGAAACGCGCACCATGCGCGTTCTCTCCGTGATCGTGTTCACATAGTCCCGCGACTAACCTCGGGGATAAGCGAGGCATACTAATGCCGCTTTCCACAAAAGAAATGCGCAAGGTGAAATAAAATGCCTGGCCGATGAGCCAGCCATGTTCGGGACGCGACGACGTTCGCCGGATTCCGCGGCGAGATTCCGGAACTTAGAATCCAAATAAACGTACGGGCACACACGGGCGTCGTGCGCGATCGTGTTCGTGCGCGGCATACGCTGCCAAAGATGCGTCAGCCCGTCGCGCTCCAAAATGTTTAACGTCCCCGAACCTGATTGGCAACTTTCGAAACAGCACGCGCATCGGGCGAAAGACAAAACACGTTCGCCGAGACGAGAACAGACGAGAAGGAGCAGCAGCAACAGCTCGAAACGATCGGTAGAAGCAGTTTAGCGTTCGCGACGTGTGCACGGCGCGATCGTTACGGCGACGAGAGTCGCGTGACCTTAGAGGAAAAATGCAGGCAGATCGTTCGAGAGGCGAGAGGCGGTGTCGGGGAAACGCGCCCACCGAGTACCGAGCGTCCTCGAGAGCTCCGATCGGATCCGAATACCGTTCGGAATGTCCTTAGATGGTGTCCCCTTCGGGAACTTCCTGCCGATCCTCTACCGATCCAATTATACAATCGACGGAGGACCGATCGCGGCCGTCGATGGAACGGTGAACGCGGATATCTATCGGACGGATCCTGGAATTGCTCACCTGGATCGTTGTACGCCGACGATGGTACTCCACGAGGAATCGGTACACACTAACGTCTCGGTCCCGGTGGTGCACTATACGTGACGCGCGCAATTCCAATGGCAGCAGAGCCGCGAGAGATAACGCTGGAAATCGGTTTCAGCAGACGGCCGACGAAATTCTGAACTACGTAGCCTGTTGTACTGGAGCCAGGCGGCAAGTGACGCGCGGCTAAAGGGGGCGGTGGGGCCCAGGGTCGGTGCAGCCAATGGTCGGCCGTGTCGGACCCTGATGCCGGGGCATCGAGCCGTTCAGGTAAGAATCAGGTAAACAGGTGACCGTTTGTCGTGCCATCTGGCGAAGCTGAGAACAAAACCGGGGCGCTCTGGTATATGCACACGACGCCACAATGGTATAGACAAAAAGTTGACCACGAGATTCGTCATTTCGTACGATTGTTACGAAAATCGGTACTCCTGTGTGTGTGTGTGTGTTTTTTTTCAGGTCGCCGACTTTCGGTATGCCATCGGTAGAATGCGGATTTTTATGCAACTGTGAGAAAAATGATTTATATGCGAAACGGTGAAGACATTTGACGAATTTACATTCGCGGTTCTACCGAATCGTTGAAATTATCGATAAGAAAATTGAACGTGTGTTTAATAGTTCGCATAAAAATCCAATGTTCGATTGTCGGAAATGAAATGTTCGACATTGAAGATCGGACACAGTTGGCGTTGCTTTTTTAACTTGTTCCTTGTGAATATCAATAATATTGCGATATTTGACTGTAATTATATAGTTGGAAAATGAAATTTTATATGGCGAGCTTGATTTCAATGTCTTAAATTTTACAGAATCTTACAGAATCTAGTTTTACAGAATCTTACTGGTCTTTCGATGATTATCGAAACCTTTTCTCTATTGTAAAAAAAAGGTCAGAAACCAATTATTGCGACTTTACTATTGTTCGGTAGTATAGTATAGTATAGTATATTATTGTTTGGTAGTATATAGTATAGTTTGGTTTTTATTATTGTTCGGTAGTATAGTATAGTATAGTATATTATTGTTTGGTAGTATATAGTATAGTTTGGTTTTTATTATTGTTTGGTAGTGTAGTTCGTTTCGACTGCCAGTATAAACACTGTTATTTTCTGAAGTGGATTGAACGATAAATTTTTTACGATTGGAACAAACGACTTGAAGTTGTTCGTGAAGTAACTGAAAGTAACTTTCAGTTTATTAGACAACGAATACAAACATTAAGCAACACCTTATAATAATAAGCTCTTTAATAAACGTAGTCCGATTTGTATCATGTTTGGACTCATCTTAATCAAAAGAATTTCATCTATCCATTGACGCTGCAATTGTGAATAATAATGAATAATAAACTGAAATTTACTAAAAATAAAATTTTCTTTCATGCACATTTACATTGTCTAGTCACGGAATTGCCTTGTCTACCGATGTAAGGCCTCGCTGAGCTCGAGACTGAGGCGCTGTGGTGGGAAAAGAATGCCGATTTTGGAAGTTACATTTACGTAATAAGTGAAACCTGATGTGTGCATTATATTAGAATTAGAATACTTCGAACTTTCTTTCAACAGCATCGTTTGGTAAACATATTTTTTTTTATAGTATTAACCAAATATTTTTTGGGTTCCCAGCCATGTGAATTTAAATACATCGTTTGAAAAACATTTTGAAGAAACTGACTTTAAACATTTAAAAAGAATTTGAAACTATATGGGCTGTATCAACTAGAGTATGACAAGCTATCTTTGAATCTCTTAATGATAACGAGTTGTTTTTTTTAATTATAACGTACGATGGTGATTTTCAGAGTACGATGAAAAAAAGGTAGTCTCACTTCAAATGTAAATTCGAGCTATCATTTTCTTATGTACTATTTCCTGTCACTATTACACGTGTGATAATAAAAGAATTGTGTTAATGCAATATGCAAAATGCAAACTTCATTATTATCGAAAAATAGTATCGGAATCACCATATCCAATTCAACAATCCAAACATTTTCGAATTTCGTGATGCTAGTAGATTAAAAAAGCTTTTTAGATTAAAAGGAAAACCTTATTTATTAAGAACATTAATCGAAATTTTTGTAATATCTACGAGACTTACGTATGTATTTATATAAGTATGTATAAAAATAAATCGTGCATGATTAACTTTTTAAATTTTTTGGATGTGCAAAAATACTTTATGATAATATCGTAGTGAACATTTTCATCGTTTGAATGTACGCGCCGTATGAATGTGAGGCTACCAAATCATAAAATGTGTCGTAATACGAACGAAGTATACGGAATACTCGATCCTCACTAACAAACTGAAATTTCTGAAATATAGTATACCTCATTTGTATCACAGCACATTTTATGATTTGTAAGAGAAAGTTCTAAATTAAATGTTTTACATTGCGATAATTTTTATATTGTTAATATTCTCTGAATTATTCGCAAATGATCCTTGTTGTTCTAACCACAAGCCGGAATACGAATACTGGTAAAAATGATTTGCTTCGTTTGAGGGTTCGTGTATCGTCATTCCACATAGTGACAAATTGTTGAAACTGGGTAGCATAAACGTCACAGTTATCGACGTAACACAAGTTCTCCTCTAGATTGGTAACATAGACTTAGAATCCGTACAGACATTGCATGCAATGCTTTTTTTGTCTCGGGATCTGAATTACCGACTCTGTAGAAAATGCTATGGTATGATAGATTTGAAAGGATAACAGCGTAAAAATAATATATATATGATCAAATGACCTCAGCTATCCCTCATTTTCGGCTGTTAAAATAATTGTGGAACACCCTGTATATATATATTATTATATATATGATATATATATATATATATAATAATTAGTAGAAATAATTGCACAACTGTCCATAAAAATAATTTCACTTTATATCGCATTTCTATAGTACATGTTTCATAAATACTATTTCTATCATTTAAATGTTCGCACTCGATATCAGTATTAACACTTCTGACATGCTACCACAGATGGCGCAACCGTCCTAGGGATTTAGTCGTTACGCTCTTCAATAAATGATGTAGAAATGATGTAGGATCGTGAGTAGAAAAGGTAGAATCAAATATTTTGCAAACAAATTTATTATATAACAATTATTCTCGGCTTCTTTGGTGCAGCGTACGTAGCGTGACTTGCTATTAACAAAATTATAACTAAATACCACCTTACCTTACCGAACTCTCCGCTCGGTAAGGTAAGGTGGCAAATGTCGCCACAGCAAAAAGAATTCTTATTGTTAGTTTACCGAATTTCTCCCACAATTTCACATGTTATCACAGACAAGGTGTGAGAGTAAACTGGACATCCAATGTATTATCACAGACGGGATATAAGACTAGACTGGACATTCAATGTATTATTTTATCACTAAAAAATGGGACTCCAGAAGCCCCATTGCCATTCCCGCGTCACGCTCATTCTTACCGATATTTCAGAAATTTTAGTTTGTTAGTATGGATCGAGTATTCCGTATACCTCATTTATATTACGGCATATTTTATAATTGGGAAGTCACAAATTCATACAATGTGTACATTCATACGATAAAAATGGGTATCTATAAAATGTAATTAACAGCAAAAGTGAAGTTCGCTACGGGAGTTCATCTGCAATTAATTTGACTAATTATATCATTAAAAACAGAGGATTATTATATTATAATATTATTAATAATAATAATACAATTATTATAATTATTAACATTATTTTCTATTATAGAATAAAAACGATAACTTGATTTTTTCATTTCTAACTTTTTATACATGATATTTTTTTTATTATATTGTGGTCAGATTCTTGCAATTAAAATGATACCAAACACGACATGCTTTAGACCATATTTATTCATTATACGTAGGAAGTAACTTCTTTTATTTCCAAAAAAAAGCATTAGAAAAAGATTCTTAACTATACATATATGAAATATTAAAGGCAACGTCAAAGAAGGTACATATATGTCGTTCGAAAGAAAATATCAGTGAAGTTATGCTATTCGGGCCTAGCATGTGAATAGGCATGCCTATTTGAAGGCAGAGGACAGATACAGTAATGTCTCCCTTACTGACGCTCAGATTGTCCTTAAAATGGATAATTTGGGAAGAGGAGATACGATTATTCTAGCCATGCGGTTTAGTTTTATAGTTATAAATTGTCCACAATTATAAAAATGTGCCGCAAGGCTCGAATAATCAATCGTATCTCCTATTTCCAAATTATCCATTTTAAGGACAATCTGTCTCTCTGATTGACGCCCAGATTGGCCACAAAAATGGACAGTTTGGGAAGAGGAAATTAATATTAAAAATGCACGGAATAAAATTATTAATCCTGCCAATCCTCCCATTCAGTTAGACACGACAGTGCTTGAATCTGATTTGCCAGACATGATAAGTGTAATCACAGGAGAACAATGTACACCGGCACATGTTACACAATTTTTATTAAACTGTGAGGAAGAAGAAAGTCGAAACGAAAATGAAGAAACAGAAGTAGAAACGGACTTTCTTGGGCAAAGAAAATTAAATAAGTACGTACTCATACAATGGTAAAAATTTGCAATAACAAGTTGAATATAAATTAATTATAAATGAATCTTTTTATATTTGTATTTGTTATTAGGAAATAGAGAAAAACCATCACCGTAGGCCACGATACTACACGATTCCAAGGATGACACGTCACAAAACAATTCAATATAGAATATAATTTTTCACAATAAATATTAGATAAATAAATGTAATCGAAATTATATCTCTTGTTTGACTTCAATGTAATCAGAAACGTCTGTCCAAACTATATCATGTTCGGTCTCATTTCAATCAGGAAACTACCAGCAATGTGTTAAAATTTAAAAAAAAGGTATATCATTGCATTGAGTGTATTGAGTTGTTCTCCGGGAATTCGAGTCAAAGGTGCCACAACGCGTGTCACAGCCACGTGTTCACCGACTCCGACGAACCTTAGCATCGGCGTAGTGAGAAAATCGATAAATTACAGGGCCGTAGCGATATCACCGCGTCATTTACGGCATTCCAAGATTTTGACATTTGGAGAGAGATTACTGTATAGAGCAAAGGATACGAGAAGTTTAGATACATTGGTGCTTATAAGGTGGCGCCTGTATAGGAGCCTACGTCTCTGTATATGTAATTTTCTTATATACGCAAGTACAGTAATCTCTCTCTAAATGTCAAAATTTTGCTATGCCACGAATGTCGCAGTGATATTGCTACATGTAATTTATCGATTTTCTCGCTACGCCAATGCTAAAACGTGTGCTGCGACACGCGTTGCGGCACCATTAACTCGAATGACAACCAGAAAACAACTCATAATACAATGATATAACTTTTTTTAATTTTAACACATTGCTGATAGTTTTCTGACTAAAATGAGACCAAACATGATATAGTTTGGACAGACATTTCTGATTACATTAAAGTCAAACGGGAGATATAATTTCGATTACATTGATTTATCTAATATTTATTGTGAAAAATTATATTCTATATTGAATTGTTTTGTGACGTATCATCCGTGGAATCGTGTAATATCGTGGCTTACTGGGTGATGGTTTTCCTCTATTTCCTAATAACAAATACAAATACAAAAAAAATTTATTTATAACTAATTCATATTCAAATTGTCACTGCAAATTTTTACTATTGTATGAGTACGTACTTATTTAATTTTCCTTGCCCAAGAAAAATATAACTTAAATATTAACTCTTGAACTGTGAGATGACACTTCCTCGAAGGGTGTACGTAATTCATTGTTCACAATCCCATGAAAAGACATTTGATTCAAAATTGCAGGGTTGATGAAAAAAAGTAAAATAAACAGTTTTTTCACACTCTCCGTCAAACGGGTAGGTTCGTTGCTCCGAATCTCCGTCGAATCATATAATAGTATGTAATTGTCGCTGGCTTACAGGCGAATCGTCGCCGGCTCCTCGGAATTACAGTCGAATCAAGGCCCGAATAGCGTAACTCCACTGGTATTTTCTTTTGGACGACCTTTTACATACCTTCTTTAACGTTGTCTTTAATACTTTTCTAATGCTCTTTTTGTTATAATTACAATTTGTGTAGTGAAATAAAATAAGTTACTTGCTACGTACATGGTCTAAAACATGTCACGTTTGGTATCATTTTAATTGGAAAAATCTGACCAATATGTTAATAGAATTTTCATGTATAAAGGATTAGAAATAAAAAAGTTAAGTCATCTATTCATAGTAATGTACATCGGCATGCTGGCCGCTGCCTCTCCAGGTAATTTCGTTCTCTCTCTCTCTCTCCTCTCTCTTTCTCTCTCTCTCCTCTCTCTCTCTCTCTCTCTCTCTCTCTCCTCATCACAATTCTTCCAGTTTCGATGTGACGGACATTTGCGAAGTAATTCAAAATTTATTACAAAACGATACGACAAAGATGGCTAGATTTTTTAGTCTGATTACGATAACTTCATGTATTGGGTTAGCAACTAAGTAATTGCCGATTTCAGTTATAGATGTCTCTCACTCCCATTTTTGTGATATCCGTAAATGATATATTATAAAACTATTATTATTATTATTATGTTATTTTTTATTATCCGTGAATGTTAGCAACTGGACAAATTGAATGCAGCGGTCAAGGAAAAGCGACCAGAATTGGTCGATCGTAAAGGTGCCATTTTCCAGCAGGACAATGCTAGGCCGCACACGTCTTTGTCCACTCGGCAAAAATTGTTGGATATTGCTTGGGAATTGATGTTACACCCACCATAAAGCCCTGATCTCGCGCCATCGGATCACCACTTATTTCGATCCCTGGACAACGCCCTTCGTGGTAAAACTTTTAACGGCGACGACGCTGTAAAATCTCACTTAACTCAGTTTTTGGCCGAAAAGGATCAGACTTTCTACGAGCGTGGAATTTTCAAGTTGTCGGAGAGATGGCAGAAGGTCATCGAACAAAATGGGAAATACATTACAGATCAAACTTCGTTCCAAGTAAAAAAGACTTTTTATTTCATTGAACAAATCGGCAATTACTTAGTTGCCAACCCAATAGAAACAGAGCTGAAAGTGTAACAGCTAACTGTACAATCAACGAAATTGGAGACTTTTATGGCACGTGCGGTGGCAAGTTTATGCCGCGTCCACATTCGAGAGAACAGTTCTCGAGCAGCTCACGGACTGCTCGCAGGCAGTTTGCGAGCCGTTCGTCAACGAAAACGGCAACGTGTTTGCACACGGTGCTCACGAACAGCTTGCGAATTACTCACGAACGGTTATAAGCTTCTTCGCTCCGAATTCATAGTCGGTTACAAATTGTTACGAACTCGTCCACACGCTCCTGCTACCCGTGCGAACAGTGTTTGCTGTTTACCGAGGAGCTCGCTGCTTGCTGTTCGCAAAAGTGTTCACACTGCCGGCGAGCTGTTTGCGAACAGCAGTGTGGACGCGGCATTAGGGACAAACACACTTACAGGCAAAAGCACGGCCCGTGCACATTGTTCGTGAGTCGAGTGTATATCTATATACAGTAAATTCTCCCTAATAGTCCCGCAGCTTGAGATCAAAAATGAACAACCTTAGACAAACCAGTCACGATTCTTCTCGAGCCTCGCGGCTCGCCTTTATAGCCAACTTAAAAGCCAGTGTGGCCAACATATCGGTGTACACCAATACAAATACACAATAATGCTAGACTAAAAACGATGCCTTACATTTTTCATTTCTAATTTTTTATACATGAAAATTTGTTAACATATTGTGGTCAAATTCTTCCAATTAAAATGAGACCAAACACGGCCATATTAGACCATATTTATTCAATTACATCGTGATTTATGTTATTTTATGTAATCAGAAATATCTGTCCAAACTATATCATGTTTGGTCTCATTTGAATCACGAAACTATTATCAATGTGTTAAAAAGAGTTTCAGTTTAAAAATATTCAAATTAAAAAAGTTAAGTTATTGTATTATTAGTTATGATTCCGAGAATTCTAATCAAAGGAGCCGCGTTGCGTGTCGCATCATACGGTTAACTGACTCCGACGAGTCTTAACATAGGTGTAGGAATAATGTATATAGCCGTCGAAATAGCACAGACATATGTAAGCAAGCCTCTAACAGGGACTATTTAGGGAGACTTTACTGTATATGGTACCGCTCGAAATTCTCCCACATTGTCCCTCTTAGAGATCCACTCGCATTACCCCTGTGCTATTTCTACGCCTATATGCGTTACAGCAAATTCTCCCACTGAATTCTTTTCAGATATTGCTGGATAGTTTTCTGATTAGAATGAGACCAAACATGATGTAGTTTGGACAGATATTTTTGATTAAAATAAAATAAAACACACACGATATAATTTCGATTATACTTATTTATTTTGATACTTATTGTGTAATTAATTTTATTCCATTATTGCTGTGACTATACAAGAAAAATACATTGCTGTACAAATAAATAATAAACTGTATAGTATTTCTAACATACTAAAGTAATCTTTCACCACAAGCTGTTACAACTAGAGATGGGATAAAATTTAATATATACTCATGAATCCGAGTCACAAATTTCATTGAGCAAGTTTCGTTTCATGGGTTTCGATTACTACCTAAAAACAATAAGGTCTCAATGATTATTATACTTGAAATGTATTCATTCTATACAAGTAGATATCGAACCCCGAAGCGAGTTCTTTTGTCAAAATATTTACATAGGGGGTTCGAACCTTTCTCGTAAAAATTCGAGTATATTTTCGATATATAATTTGATCCCATCCATAGCTATAACATTTATACATTAAAAAGCTGCCTCGATATTATACATAATTACGCATGTACTAGTTAGAGAAATGTAAAAATTACATTCTATATTAAATTATCTTATGGCGAATCGCGTAGAGATATGTATCGTGGCCTACTGTGGTGGGTTTCCCCTATTCCCTAATAACAAATAATGTAAAAAAAAATTAATGTATGTATAATACATATTTAAATTGGCTGCAAATTTTTACCATTGTATATATACGTACTTACATATATAATTCTCCTTGCCCAAGAAAAATATTTCTAATCCCTGCAGTACGCATTGTATAAAAGTCGGTGCTCTCGCACTGTAAGACGTCAATCTGTCGAATATTATGCGCAATTCATTTTTCACAGTTTCGTCACTGCTCTCCGCATAAATTACTTCTCGCGTTCTTTTCCGAAATTCTTCCGTTTCCTCTTGAAGCTCTTCCATTTCTTCTTTTATTTCTTCGTCGTCGTTCTCGTTCCTTCGTTCTGCTTCCTCGCAGTTTGATAAATACTGTGTAACGTCCGCCGGGGTGCACGGTTCGCCTGTGATCACGCTTATCATGTCTTGCCAATCAGGTTCAAGCACCGCCGTGTACGGCTGATTAGAAGGATCAGCGGGATTAATAACTTTATTCCACACGTTTTTAATACTTTTCTGTGAAATCTCCGACCAGGACTCGGACAAAATGTCGACGCAGTTCTTTATTGTGTAATTAGCATAGAACTCATTTATTCTTCCATCGTACGTTAAAACACGTTTCAAGAACTTGCGACGGAAAACTCTTTTTGTTTTCTCTACGATCTCTTGATCCAACGGTTGAAGAATCGACGTTGTGCTGGACGGTAAATGCATAATTTTAAAATCCTCGTCTTCCTGTTGTGAAACTTTGTAGGCTTCGCAATTATCTAACAATACGATTGCTTTTTGCGGTATTCGTTTTTCCTCCTGATATTGTTTCACAGACGGTTTGAAATGTTTCTCAAACCAATCTAAGAATATCGTCCTGTCCATCCGTGCATTTGTCTGCGATTTAAAAATTACAGGTAACGAAACTTCGTGTTTCAAAGCTATTGGATTTTCGTGTTTGTAAATTACAAGAGGCATTATCTTATGCGTGCCTAACGCATTTGCGCATAAGCCGATTGCAATTCTATCTTTTCTCGCCGTCTGTTCGCTGAGATTTCGTTTTTCTTCTCCGGCCAGTGTTCTCGTCGGAAGAGCCTTCCACAAAAGTCCACTTTCGTATATATTGTAAACATTTTCTAACGTTATATTTTCTTCCTTCATTATTGTTTTCAAATTTCTTATAAATGCTCCGTTCAAATCAGCGCTAACTCTTTTCCGATAGACGTTTCTGAAACGTATACCATGACGTATTTTAAATTTCGTTAACCAGCCACGGCTGACCTTAAATTCCGAACACGACGGCAGATTTTCTTTCAATTCCTCCGCCTTTTTGAATATGATAGCATCGGTTATATGGTCACCAAGGGTTTTTCTTTGCGCGAACCATGCTAATAATTGTTTATCCAACTCATTATATACCGGCTGCATTATTCTCCGTCGCTTTTGTTCCTGCCTATCTTTATTTGCGAACGCAATAATTTTTGAGGCTTCTTTTCTAATGCGATAGATCGTTTTGATGTTAACGCCATATTTAATCCCAATTTCTGTAATTGACAATGATCTTTCTTGAATATCCTTCAGGACGTTCATACGTTGCTGCATGGTTAATATCATATATTTTCTCTTAGTTGTCATAATAGTAATATTAAAGATACGTGTATGTTTTTATAATAAATAAAAATTAAATAAACAGAAACTGTTAATAATAATGAGGAACTATTAATAATAAACAGAACTATTACTAATAAAATTATCTTACGTCTCACTAATTACTAATATGTATACATTTAAAAAACGATTATTAATAACGATATTAATTGCTACAATTTATATATCACTAATTACTAATATCTCTAATAATAGCACTTGACACTAGAAATTAGTAATACTGGTAATAAACTATAATAATACAAAATGATCTTAGAAATAACACAATGTGGAGCTTGCACTAAATAACGTTGTATCTTAACCGACGATTCGGACGAGACTGGCTAGCAGTGTAGTCGAGAATATAAGTTACGCAAGGAAGGGGGTAGCTGACGCATGCGCCGGGAGTCTTGCACAACAGCGTGGCGCGTCTACCGGGTGAACATTATAATTCTAAAATAGGATCGCGTCGCGACATAAGATCTTTGTCTAATCATCAGTCAGAATTACAACGTTCACGCGGTAGATACGCCACGCCGCGCTCTGTGGGACTCCTGCTCATGCGTCGTTTATCCCCACTCATTGTGTAACTTATTTCTCAACTATACAATCGCGAGGAGTCGACTCTTATCTTCGCAGGATCACTCGTCTTTAACACTTAGCCAACCGAACGGGGAGATCTCCCCGTTTTAAATTCAATCGATTGACGACCGAATGGATGATTAATGAAACATTAAAAATGATCGCTTAATTTTATCAAGATTTGCAAGAGATACGAATGCTGAGGCAGTAATCGATATGAAATATTTTAATTTTATGAAAATTGTTGAGGTTTCTAGCGCGGTCGTGGAAGTGTTAATCGATCCCCATCATTGCAAGATCGTTGGTATTTTTCCTGACTTTCGCAATTGAACGTTACGATATCGGCGCTGAGTTTCAAGGTCCTCGTATCTAAACAGTGTCGTTCTTCCTCGACGTTCGACCATCCTTACTCCAAGGCCACTTAAAATTTTAAGATCAACGGAGAAAGTACATTTCCTCTCTTTGTATCCATTTTCAGTCATTTTTTACATATGATTTACACAGCGAAATCATTTGGTGATGTCATTCTTTTCTCTCCTCTGTATTCCTTCACACTACCCGTAATTATGTCACATCGTGCGTTGTATGTAGGCTCATTCTTTCACGTTGTCCATCGAACGTAAGTTCGTTCTCTCACATTGTCCATCGAACGTAGGCTAGATTTCTTACATTTTCCGTCGAACGGCATAACTCCACTGATATTTTCTTCTGGACAACGTTGTACCTTCTTTGACGTAAATATTTCATATACAACTAAGTTTCAGTTTTTCTAATGCGTTATTTGTTACAATTATCTCTGTAATGAAATGAAATAAGTTATTTGTTACGTTTTAATGAACAAATTTGGTGTAAAGCATGTTATGTTCGGTCTCATTTTAATTGGAAGGATCTCACCAATATGTTCAACAGATTTTCATGTATAAAGAATTAGAAATAAAAGAGTTCAGGTATTCTAGCATTACAGTCAATTCGCCCCAATTGGCTTTCAACTTTTAAACAAAAATGAACAATTTCTGAATGACGATTATACGACTCGTTTTTATAGTTGTTGACGATCGGTAACTATAAAAACGAGGCAAGGCTCGAATAATGGTATCTCCTCTTCCGAAATTGTCTATTTTTGTTCACAAGCTCAAGGCCAATTAAGGAGAATTTACTGTATTGTGTATATTTGTATTATGACACCGATACGCTGGCCACTGGCTTTTGTTTGTCGACTGCGACAATTTTCATTCTATCTCTCTCTTTTACGACGTGTCGGCAACTGTAAAAAAAAAGAGCCGCGAGACTCGAATAATCGTATCTGGTCTTTCCATGTTGTCCACTTCCGATTCCAAGCTGAGGGACTATGCGAGAGAAATAACTGTGTCCCTGTATTATGGCATACCGACATCGCTAAAAACAAGAGGTTTCCTCGCGCCATCTGCCTAAATAGAACGGTCAACTGGTCAACTACATAAGAATGCAGCATAGAAATTTCGTTTCTATTTTACAGCGTTGTCAGCTCTAAAAATCAATATACAATGGTGCCGCGTGAGTTCCAGACATTCCAGCTCGACGAATCGTCGGGGCCAGAGATGACGTAGAGAGATTGCTAGCGCCCGGGTTTTGCTGGTCCGCCGTGGCTCGACGAAACTCGTCAAACAACATATGGTGCGCAGTGCGCACCGAGTTTTAAAAAGAAGATGAGAACCTTTTCCAGCCTTGGTGGGAGAATTTAACCTGCAGAAAACGAATGCTGGCTGCAAAACAAGATTTTCCTCGAATTGTCCTTCTCGGCTCAGCCTTTAGTCCCACTTGTAGTTGTTCGAAAATCTACCTGCGCACAAAATCATTATTCTTTTCAAATTACAGTAAATTTTCTAGCCTAATTTTTCTTCAGCTTGTAAACAAAAATGGACGATTTGGGAAGAGGAAATACGATTATTCGAGCCTCGAATCACAGTTATAAAAATGAGGTGCAAGGCAAGGAATAATCGTATCTCCTCTTTCTAAATTGTTCATTTCTGTTTAGAAACTGAAGGAAAGTTGGAGAGAATTTACTGTACTTGCAAATAAATGCTGCATCATACTTTTGTTTGCCGACTGCAACAATTTTCATTCTATCTCTCTCACCCAACAATTGATTATATAATATGTAAACACTAAACGCCCACACATATACACATACAGAAAACGATATTTAAAATTAAATAATATTTGACGAGTTTCTTCAAGTCACGGCGAACCAGAAAAACCAGAACGTTAGCAATCAACCTACCAATCTCTGGGCTAAGTCTTTATCTATGTACAATAAATTCTCTCAAATTGTCCTTTGGCTTGGAATAAAAAATGGACAACTTGGGAAAACCGGATATTAGACACAAATCTGGGTACATAGTCGGCAAACTTAAAAGCTAGCGGCCAGCGCGTCGGTGTACATTAATACAAATACATAATAATTCTAAAATAAAAGCTATGCCTTAACTTTTTTATTTCTAATTTTTTATACATGAAAATTTGTTGAAAATATTGGTCAGACCCTTCCAATTAAAATGAGACCAAACACGATATACTTTAGACTATATTTATTCAATCTTTTATTGATCTTATTTATTGATTTTATTTTATATAATCAGAAATATCTGTCCAAACTATATCATGTTTGGTCTCATTCTAATCAGAAAACTATCAGCAACATGTTAAAAATAATACAGTTTTAAAATCTTGAAATTAAAGAAGTTGATGTTATTGTGTTGAGTTGTTATTCCGGGAATTCTAGTCAAAGGGCCACGTCGCGTGATAGATCACACGCTTGACCGACTCCGTCGAACCTTAGCACGACGTAGCAATAAATCACATACATAAGCGTAGGAATAGCATAGGGGAAATTCCCAGCATGTTCGTAACACGGACTACTGGAGAGAATTTACTGTATTGGTAATATTCATTATGTGTAGGAGATTGTGTAAGAATGTGTATGTAATGATAATGACATGTATGAATGTATGCAGCGATGGGACGTACCGGTCGATATGTATTCGCATCGAGTGGAATCCGATCGGTGCGGAGAGCGGAGAGTGATTTGACGCGTCCTGATGTCACTTCTTTCTTCTTCGATGACGCCACATTGTATTACATTGTGTTAAACAAAGTTTAAATTGATATTTCTTATTAGTCAGAAACTAAGCCCGATCGATGATAATCCAAATTCTTAATATTGACATAATAGGTGTTCGAAGTTATAATTGTATCATTTGATATTATATCATATAATTATATCATATAAATTGATATATTTCTCATTAGTCAGAAACTAAGCCCGATCGATGATAATCCAAATGTTTAATATTGACATAATAGGTGTTCGAAATTATAATTGTATCATTCTTCTATAAACTCGAAATCTCCGCAGAACCTTTTGATCGCGATATCTAGGGTGTCTAGAAAAAAACGCTCGCGCGACGCTAATTTTTGTACACGGCAGCGAGGTCAGCTGATCGAGCTTTATCATCGTTTTTCAACTCCTAGCTGTTTCACATTATCGTTAATCAATTTTGTTTCATAATAAAAGTAAATAGTCGTGTCAGGTAGACAATCCAAAGAGTTGTCTCTTTCACATTGTAAATGCAATCTATCGAAATCTCCCGAAATAACAACACAGAAATGTTGAAACATAATTCGTTGTACAGTAATGGGATCTATACTCCTGCACACTTTTCTTCCTCCCTAAGCTGGCGCGCGCATCCCCACCATTTTACTGCGCTTCCAATTCGTAGTGGATCCTGTCTCAGCAGTGAATCATCAACCAATCAGAGCAAAGAAAATTTCTACGTCGACCTTCGCTAACGGATGAAACTGTGGCCTGGAGGTGTGCAGAAGTGGGTCCCATTACCGTATTATGTCATTATGTATTACCGAATCAATGTATTAGTTCGCTATCGTGTCGCAGCATTTTCTGCAGAGTCGATAATTTAGAACCGTAGATAGAAAAATACATTGCACGCAAATGCAATGTTTGTTCGGAATTCGGTCTCTTTTGGAGTCACAAAGTGAATGTAAGTAATTTATCAATGTTTTTCGATCGCAGTGAGGAGTCAGTAATGCGAAACTTTTCACTAATGTATAAAAACTAGTTTTGAAATACCCGCCAATCGTTGTCCAATGCCAACACATTTCAGTAGAGGTTGCTACAGTCGTATTAACAATATATTGTAGTACAGAGACCATACAATATTGCATATGTGCAGTGCATTAAATTAACTTATTCTGTGTATGTTTGTAAATAATTTGATTATATACATATATGAACTCAACTTTGCATGCTTGAAATAAAAATAATTATTGTGACAAGTTATAAATAAAAAATAAAAGAATACACGATAAGAGAGTTACACAGTTTTAAAATGTTATCTTTAAGAAGTCGTATACTGGATACGATTATTAAAAGAAATGTACATGGGAATGCCGAAATAGTTGCAAATTGTAAAACTGTTAGAAATCGCAATCCAAGAAATTTAGAACGTTTACGAATTGCAAGAAAGCCTATTGGTTATGCTCTTGAGAAACCTGGACATTCTTATTGGCACAAGTAATACAATTAATACCAAACTAGTGTAACCTTAATAACATTTTGTTTCTGTTTTTAATATAATATTAGTAACTAAAATCTGTGTGCGCAGGTTGATTGTGACGAAGGAAAATCGTTATGTTACAGCAGAAATACATCATTTTGAAAATGGTCCTGTTATCAAAGCTTCAAGTCGAGAATGGGGATTACATAAACAATTGTATAGGTTTGTATGCATTAGAAACCTATTTGTTAATATTTATTCTCACAAATTTAATTTAAATATACAGTAGTTTCAAAATCATAAGTACTTTATATTTCAGAGTATTTGTGAAATATAACAGACAAATAAAATATAACATAATTGTTATTTTATCGTTTTTAGAGGAAAGGATTCAGCTGCATTTATAAATGTAGGACGTGTGCTTGGTCAACGTTGCTTAGAATGTGGGATAGTCGAGATTTATTACGATAAAGAAACACTACCTGGAGGAAAGGAAGACTTACTGACAAAAGAAATTGAAAACCAAGGAGTTCGCTTACAAGAACCACTAAAGTACAGACACTTTATTCATGCAGACAGATACAGAGATGAAAAGCCTTGGGAAACTTTTGAGTAATAGTTTTTATTTTATTGTAAATATAAATAAATAATACATTGTATATACTAATGGGTAACAGAGATTCAAATTACTACTATATGTACTTTACATGAGTTCTTGTTTTATTACTCGTGCAATTCTGTAAACTAAGGAAATTGTAGATGGGGAACATAAAACAAATACCTTTGCTGTCGTGCAACTCCTCTTTCTTTTATTTAGTCTTTTTTTTTATAATTTGAAGTATACAAGTTTGTACATTATACATTACTCA